TTTACTTGGTTGTTTCTCTCACCCACCTCTGCCCCCCCCCCCCCCCCCCCCCCTAAATAAATACTGTTACATCTGTTTTAGGTTTTGTTCAGGTCTTTTACTTTGAAGTTCTCCTCATGTGATCTTGTGGTTCCTCTAATTTGTCATATTATGTTCATGTTAGTGATGGGAGAAATGAACTTTTTCAAAGCTTTGAATCAATTGAACCTGTTGTTTTGCTAAATGATTCATTCAAAATGATTTAGAAGCACTTAAAACACCACACACTGGTGACGCTTGCTGGTCAGAATGGTGTAAATGCAACAAAAACAGAGACCAAACATGCATACAATTTGTGCTTTTACAAACCTTTTGCAAATGTATTATTTATCAAATGCAATTAACTAATCATCTATTACAGAGGTAGTTGGTCCTCAGAAGCAGGGTTGAAGACCTCTGATCTAATACTATTACATTTTAAGTGTCTGTCTGTATGTGTTTTTTTTATACATTTTCAGAGCTTGTTTTTTTCTTCTTCTATGGATGGCTCAGCTAAACAGGCCAATAAGAGACTATTAACTACTATCATCCCTTTTAATTATACAAAAAAAAAAGATAATGTAAAATCCATAAACACAAGTTGGACAATGGGGGTGATCTCAGTGAATCTACATGATTCATGGGTTCACAGGGATCATCCCCGGTGGTGAACTATTGAAATTTCGAAACATATAAAACAGTTATGACTAGCAAAGATTTTGAAGTAGTACTTCAAAACCACTCATCACTAGTTTGATTTTGGATTTTCGCTCTTTGGAATAAACTGCACTTGGGTTTGATACACCATCGTGCTCGTTTGCTCTATGTGTCAGCGCCGTTAGGCCTGGCATACACTGTGCGATTTCCACAAAGTTTTTTTTAAATACCAACTCTCACTGTACGAGTAAATTGCATGCGATGTCAAGCCAAAGCTCAGGATTTATGTGCTTGCACTATACGGTCCGTTAGTCGAGCTGCAACTTGACTGCTCACACTACACCTGCGAAATAAACACGTGAGACCCCCTGTACCCGGAACTGTGTAGCCTCCATCGCTTCCATCCGTATCACACGCCATGTCGCCATGGTTTCATTTCTATTTTCACGCAGGCGCAGTGAGGGAAAAAGCACTGAGTTCGTAATTCTGCTTCAACTGTGTGATACCCTCACAAGGGGCGAGCAAAATTTTCAACAGAAATTCATCCGACCATCCGATTGCCTCTCGGGAAAGGCTAGTCGCCTCTCATTACCCCCTGTACACTGCACATTAAAAGGCACAACAAAGCTGAAATTCGGCCCAACTCAAAAAAAAAAAAAGAGCCACACGACTCGAAATCGGATGAAAATCTCACAGTGTATGCCCAACCTTACAGAATACACAACTGACCATGAACCCAGCAGTTGAACTCCTGCATTTACGCCAGGGGAATCGTCCCCTGGGGGAATATGTTGAGGACTTTTGTGAACTATGCTACTAGATAAACTTTAATGATTATTCTCTAAAGAGCAAGGTAGGCCGTCCACAAACTTTCTGTGCCACCTGTCACAGCCACAGAGACCATCCATGTCTGCTCAGTCATGGCCATGGAGGTCGTCCATGTTTCTGCTCCGTCATGGCCTCCTGATCTGCTTACTCTGCCTTGGTGGGCTTCTGCTCAGCCATGGTGCCACACTCCACCGGTTCTGCCTGAGTGATCTTCTGCTCTGCTGAGGTGGTAATCTCCATCACGGGCTTCACCCTGGTGGTCTCCATTTCTGCTGGCTCCACCATGGCCACCAGATCCTCCATGGTCTCGTCCAGTGCTCCACAGTCTATGGTCTCATCGACTGCTCCATGGTCCAGGCCCACCCCTGCTCCACAGTTCACGGTCTCGTCTACTGCTCCAAGGTTCAGATCCTCCACCATGCCATGATCCAGGCCCACGTCCACGTTACAGGCCTGGCCCTCCATCCCTCCCCCTTGTCCTACTCCACTTTACCACCCTCCTGGCCTGTTTTGTTCTTTTGGACGTGCTGTTTTGTTTGGGTGTCAGGAACTGCCCTTTGAGGGGGATATGTCATGTCTGTTTTAGGTTTTGTTCATGTCTTTTATTTTAAAGTTCATGTCATGAGATTCCCTGTTCCCTTCATGTGATCTTGCCATGTTCATTGGTTCATCTGGTTACCTTCGATATCAGTTCTGTCTTTTCAATGGTTCACAATCATTGTTATCTTGTTTAGTAATTCTGTTTTGTCAATGGTTGTTTTTGTCATGTGATTAATAGGGTATTTAAATTCTTGTATTGAAGTATGTGTGCTGTTCATTGCTCAATGTCTCAAATCATTGTTTAGTCAAGTTCATATTATGGTCATGTTTATGTTTTGTTTCATGTTTTTGGTCTTAATTCATAGTTTGGTTTTGGATTTTCACTTCTTTGGAGTGAAAATGGAGTGAAAAACTGCACTTGGGTTGGTACACCATTGTCTTCGTTTGCTTCATGTTTCAGCACCGTTACAATTACAATGATCTTTTAAAAAAAAATCTCAGCATATATTTTAGGCAGAAGAAAAAACATCTTGATGTACAAATACAATTTAAGTATAATATCAGTTTTTTCATGCCCTCATTTATGAATTAATTCACTAAATACAAAAAAAACTCAAACAGATTAGAGGAGAAAAGGAATGAAGGACCAATGTGAGCACATTGCTCACATTGGGGAAGTCGTGGCCTAATGGTTAGAGAGTCGGACTCGTAACCCAAAAGGTTGTGGGTTCGAGTCTCATACCGGCAGGGATTGTAGGTGGGGGGAGTGAATGTACAGCGCTCTCTCCCACCTTCAATACCACGACTGAGGTGCCCTTGAGCAAGGCACCGAACCCCCAAC